ACGGTTGCTGCCTCTCCCGCAGCCCGACCTGCCCGTATTGATGGCTTCAGGGCTTGCGGGGGGAGCGGAGAGGAAGAGCTGTTGCGGGGGATCGTTCTACTTCGGGAAAATCTGGCCCCTGATACACCCTGGCACCCAGGGGGTTAAATCAGCCCGTGCCTCCCCAGCAGGGCTGGGTACGGACCGGTTCTCAGCAGGGCATCCCCCCAATGACACAGGACACTGATGTAACCCATATTGGTAGCTGTGACACACACCCCTCCACCACAAAAAAACAAAAACAAAAACAAAAACAAAAACAAAAACAAAAACACAAAAAACCAACTTCATCCTGGCTGCTGGATCCCAGCAAGTTTTGGCCCCAGCTTCTAAAACTCTGGCCACTAACCTTAGATAGTGGCAACAAGGGACAGGGTGCACAGCCACCCTGGGACCTGCAGACCGAGTGATTTTGTTCCTAGCCCGGCTGGTCATCCCCCCCAACAAGATATTGCAAGTGGCAGCAAGGGCTCACCAGAAGTGGAATAACTTTTGTTGAGCCTTGGTGTCAGCTAGGGGCTGCCCAGGGTTGGGTTCACCTGCATTGTCCCCTGGCTGGCAGATGGAGTAGGGGTGAAAGAAAATAACCCTAAGCTCCAGCTGGACATCGAGCTGAGAAGAGACCAGCACAGCAACGGTACGTGCATGGCAGGGACAGTCACCGCTCACTCGACTCCCAGGTGAGCATCCACCCCGCTCTGCACTGCCAGGGACCAGCCCCCTGCCCCACACCACTCTTGGAAAGACGTCAGAGCATCCCCTCAGCTGTAGGGCCCAAAACTGCATGGCTAGAATGCAAGAAAGCAAAAGGCATCAGAGAGAGGGGGGTGACTTGTGCTCAGTCCGTGTCCCCCCCCCCAAAAAATCCAGATTAAACTGATCCCAAGTTAGAGCTCCCCCTCAATCCCAATTTCATTTTTCCACCTCAACATGAATCCTCTTTCCAACACAAGACACTGCAATTCATCTCCAGTTCCAGGTGAAGTCATTTCCTAATCCAATTTCCTAGCCATATCCAGTCTGAGATCAGCTGCAGGTCTCCGATCACTTCTTAATCCCAGGGTTGTTTCCGCTCATTTTAGGCACTGTGCCACTTCCCGGGTAGTGTTTAGAGGAGCAGATGAGGGACTGGGACCCCGAATATACTGCCCATGGGATTTCAGGCTTGTGTTTCCATTGGGCAACAAAACAATTATTTTTCTATGCTGTTAAGAGGTCACAGATACAGTCCCGAGGCAGGCGCTGGGGGAATTCTCAGAGAAGACATTAATTCAGCTTCATTGTAAATCATTTGTAATGCATATTATCTTGAAATCTTGCTCTATCTGTACAGGGAAAGTATTTTTTGTGCAGATCCTGCTTCTTGAATAAAAACTTTTGTCAGTATATATGAAATGTGTCAGGCCATTTTTCTGATCCTTATCCAACTCTGATCATCAAAAATTGTATTTCAGTTTTGCAAGATGAGTTATAGAGCATTGACCTGACCCTGTTGGGATATACGTGCAGTCCTAACAGAAAAGATTTCGCTGATATTTTAGTCTGGTAGTAAGGAAGAAAGTTTATTGCTCTTAACCTTGCTTCCAAGAAGTGCTGCATTCCCAAAGGGTTTTGTCCTTTATCTGGAAGGAAATCAGATCTGGATTGAGCTGGAAAACTCTTTTCTTTGAAACCTGACACATCAGATTTGCCAGATAATGTTTTCTGAAGCTAACGTGGGAGGTCAACACCAACATAAAAGTTCAGTTACACTGGAGCCCACAGAAGGGGCCAGCAGATGCCAAGAGCACTTTGCCTCGGGCAAGCCCAACACTCAGATTTTACCACCAGCAACCACGGGGCTCTGTTGCAGGAGGATTATCGCAGAGGTGAAGCACGGAGGTCACTTGTATGAAGTTGTCTTTGCTGATGAACAAACTCGAGCGAGCATTTATCGGAGAGTTTCAGAAAATACAGTTAGGGCATTTGCAAATGTTAACAGACAAGTAAAACAGCTGCATTTAGGAGGCTGGCAGCTACTGAAGCACAGTACTTGGTGGGATGGACTGACCACACATTGGAGTGAGCAAAGAGGTAGAAATCAAACCTGTCAGCCGTCACTCGTTTGACAGCTGCTTGGATTTCTCATAATCTCCTCTCTTATAAATCCTCAAAAAAAAAAAAAAAAAAATTACACTAGGCTGGAACTTGGTCTCTGAAATATACAGCTGTTTTAGTGGAGTAAATGTGTTTTACGAAGAAGACTTAAATAGGTTTAGTTTCCGTAAAATGGTGAAACTGGAGGAGAAAGGCACAGGGCAAGGTGAATGATTATTTATTCTTTATCATATCACAGGGAATGGAGGACATCAAGTATACAGGTCAGGCAGAAATTTTAAAACAGAGGAAAAGATGCACTTATTTCACACAGCACATAATTATTCTGTGGCACTCATCACAGGACACTGCAGAGGCCAAAAATAAATACCGGTTCAAAAAGAGATTAGAGAAACTAATGGAAAAAAGCCCATCAAGGGCTGCTAAACACAGAGCTGGGGAAGTAACCTTCAGCTCGGGAAGTCCCTGAGCAGCAGGTTGGTGAGAAAGCAGAGCCACAAAATGTTCACTCTGCATTTGCCAGAATCCTCCATTCTTCCCTAAACCAGCTATCTGCTACGTGGTGGTGCCCACTGTCCTTGCAGAGGGGATCCCAGGCGAGATGGTCCTTTGGTCTGACTCACTATGGCAATTTCAGGTTCTTGTTACAACAGCTGACGTTACTAGCCTGCTGTCTCAACGTTGCTATCCAAGTAGCATCCCCCCATACCTTGGCTTCTGTAAACGTCTTTAGGAGGTGATTACCACTGGAGGAGATGTGCGGTCAGCTTTTGGTCCCTTTTGCACTGTGGAGGAAGCCTGTGGCGTAGTGCTTGCAATTGCCCAGGACAGAGAGGAGAGATGGACATGTGACGAGAGGAGGCGGCACATTCCCCCAGCTCTGGTGGTGCCAGCACAAGGAGCACAGTACAGATGTCTTCCTACTGCAGCCCCACCATGACCAACAGCATCTTAAACACAATATCCCAGACCTCCTGCCCGCAGCTCAGAGGGGGCTTGCCTGTTCCAGGGCACACACCCTGCTTTCTGGACAGGAATTTGTCCTGAATCCAAAACACAGCACTATACCAGCTACTAGGAAGAAAATTAACTCTATCCCAGCCAAAACCAGTATTGAACTCCCATCTCCTGCAGGGAAGAAACCCCAAGGGGACCGTGTGTTGACATGGGATTGAAGATGACTTGCTCAGCATCAGGCAGGGTGAAGTGTGAAGTTTGTAAATTCTATTTGTCTGAAAAAAAGTCACAAAAAAACCAGAACAGGCTGCAGGATCAACTTCCATTGCCACCTCAGTGACAAGCAGAAAACCAACCTGGATAAATCAAGATCAGATGTACCATATTTGCCTGTATTCCCTTCAGCCCCATATCTCTTTCTAGTCGCCTGGCTAATCCTCTGTAGATCAAGTAACATAGTATGAGTTGGACTGATGTGGAATGACTGATGGCGACCATGGTTTTGGCTGTGCTGCTCCACGTTCCCTCTCAAGTCATTAATTATGCCATCTGACATGAGCAGTGCTCTCAAGTTGATATTTGTGAGGTAAGTGATGAATTTCCTCTCCTCCTGATAGCTCATTAGGACATGTTTTATTATGGGAAAATTTGCTGAGGAATTAATTATTCAGGCAAAAACATTTTTGTGAGCAACTTTATTTATTTATATGTTTATTTTACCTTGGATATATCATTTCTGTGGTCCAAGAAAAATAATGGCTGCATGTCTAGAAGGTGGCTACCATCTTGACACCAGGAATGTGCTGTTTATTTCTGGAGAGGAGGCACAGAGTCACAGCAGTCTCTCTGCAGAAGGATGCCCAGGGAGCAATATGTCTGTATTCCAGGCAGAGAAAACCAGTCCAAATGGCTGCTTTTGAGCCAGCCTTTCAGTCACCCAAAGGCAACTTCTCCTTCCCTGATTTACTTGAGCTCAAACAGCTGCCGCAGCCCATTTTACCAAATGGTTTAGCAAATGGAGTTTCCTCATTTAATGCAGCAAACCAGCTCCAGGCTCTGGTTTCTATTTTATTCAGACTCTCTGGTCTGTTTTACTATTATATTAATCCATTATTACTATTCCACAAGTCTTGACCTATGGTATTTGTCCTCTGAAACTAATAGAAGGATCCAGACACCCCACATATCATCTTATGGTAGTTACTGCAAGTACCACTTTCTGGGAGAGGTTTCTCATGGTAATCACTATCTTTAAGAGGGTGTCTGCTACTAGTTCAGAGGGATTATAGACAAAGTACCTAACTGTCAACCACCTGTCTCATCTGCATTTCTTCACGGCTACTGCTGCATCATGAATCTCTCAGGGCATCTCATCTGGGAACATCTTGACATTTTGCTTTTTTTTTTTTTTTGCAAGCATTTTTTTTTGAAGTATCTCCATTCTGCTAGGAAAGCTGTCTTGTCTGCGAGGAGGTTATGGGCAGAGAAGGTGCCATGCTGACAGACATTAACAGAGAAGTTATCAGGAAGCAACTGAATGTCATTAATGTGTCCAGATACAATAACCTCTGTATCTTGACACCCAAAGAAAAACAAACATATTCAAACGTATTCACATCTGAACTGAACAAGGCCAGGCTGTGGCTAAAATAAAAATTTAAAAAAAAAAAAAAATGCTTGAGCTTTTCAGAGCATCATTAACCCTAAGCTCTGAGTGACTAGTGCAAGTCAGACTCCACAGCATGTTACAGCCTGTGAGAGCTGTAACAGCTAGCAGGGGCACGGTCCCAAAATGGCA